CAAGCAAGCAGGAAAAGCTGAGAACCGGCTGTCCAGGGGGGGTCCCTTTAAGCACGAGCCTCAGATAGCCTCAGACAGCAGCCACACAAAGCAACTGCTGACCTGATGCCCTGCCAGAACCGGTTTCAGCTGCCCTTAAATGCCCCCCTGCGTCCAATCAGTGTGGACGCGCTAGTTCGAACTAGCAAAACGCTAGTTCGAACTAGTTTTTAGTTCTAGATGCGCTAGTTCGAACTAGCTTAGTTCGAATTAACTAATTCGAACTAAGTTAGTTCGAACTAGCGCTGTAGTGTAGACGTACCCCCTGTCTTTGTGAATCCTGCATACAGATGTGCACAGTCTTACTGGAGAGTTCAAGCCGTGCTCCCTGCCGTCTTCACTGCCAAGTCTAACCCTCTCAGTTGTGGGCCAGGCACAGGGACCTGGCATCCCCAACTGACTTCACAAAATGTTGCACCGATGATGCAAATGATGCATTGATCATGCATCACATATTTTAAAGACCTCCTCGTTGTGGAAGTTTGTGAAAGGAAAATTCAGGATTTTTTTCCCTTCTTCCAAATGTCTTATTAGACTTTAAAATACTTTTCTTGTGGGCTGAGAGAGTGATGTCATGCACCTTCCTCTGCCCTCAGCTGTATGCGCCCCCCCCCGCTGCGTGGCTTCTGGGGCATGCTGCTTCCCTGCCCCCCCATGATTCCCTACTGGCTCTGCGCCGCATGGCTCTGGGGTTAACTCCTCCCCACAGGGGAGCATGGAAGCCATGTGACCTCTTAGGGACTTGCGGGGAGGGGGTGTGCAGGAGCTGCAGGGGCGCAGGTGGGAGGAAAGGGGGAGGGGTGTGTGCAGGAGTGATGGGGGGTTGGTAGGAGAAGGTGGGGGCGCGGGGAGCCACACAGCCTTGTGGGGGCTCAGGTGTGGGGGCTGGGGTGGGGGTGCGCGGGAACTGCAGAGCCTCGGGAGGCTTGGGTTGGAGGAGGGGATGTGCAGGACATGTGCGGCGTTGCCAGTGATCCAGGAGGAGGGGGTACAGAGGAACTATGGAGCCTTGCCCCTCACTGGCAGGGGGCCAGAGCCACGTGGCCTCCCCCCATGCGGCCAGAGGGAGAGGTCCAGGTGCCATGCCCCCTCCCCCCTCCCTGCTAGAGGAAGAGGACTGAACCAGCTGCAGCCTCAGCCCAGCCCAACCCGCCGCAGCCAAAGGAGAGCCAGAGCTGCCTACCCTGGGAGACGGTGGTTGGTGAGTGTAGCAAGCAGGGGGCACCACCTCCCAGTAGCTTTGAATGAATGTTTTGAAGGTCACAGTTTTTCTAGGCATTGTGTAGATTACGGTGGAGTCCACTTTTTTATGATGCAGAAGAAACACATGATAGATTTAGTTGCATTTTGCAGGGCACTGAAAAAATCCAGGCCACATCCCTTGCAAACAGGGTTTCATGATAAGAGTTCACCATAGGCAGATTTTACATTATATAATCATATGTGTTTCTTGGCTTTTGTGCGGCGGAGTCTTTGTAGTATCTGAGCACCTGACATAGACCTGCGAATTTATCCTCACAGCACTCCTGTGAAATAGGGAAGCATTCTTCTTTTAGATGGAGAAACTGAGGCACGGAGGTTTGTGATGCAGGAATTCATTGCACAGGCTTCTGTACAGACAGACTTTACCCTTATTGAAGAGATTTCCATTGTGCCAGAGAAACAAAACTTTCCATCACAGTCTTCATATTGGATCCTTAACCTGATCTGATATTCTGTAGGAGCTCAGGGCATGCCTGCGCTGGGGAGTTAATTCGAAATAACTCCCCTTATTTCGAAATAACAAGGTGAGTGTTCACACTGCCATGTCCATTATTTCGAAATAAAGGGCTTGTTATTTTGAAATAATAGTGCCTGCTTGTGAAGAGGAAAAAGGTTATTTTGAAGTAACTCCCTAGTGTAGACAGAGCCTCAGTGTAGGGAGCGAGGGGACAGGTATGATGTGTCCGTGGCATCTTGTGTTGCTGAGATGAGACACCACAGAGTTTCCATTGGAGTTTCCTAAACACTGAGGCTACGTCTAGACTGACATGATTTTCTGGAAATGTTTTTAACGGAAAAGTTTTCCGTTAAAAGCATTTTCAGAAAAGAGCGTCTAGATTGACACAGATGCTTTTTGCGGAAAAGCACTTTTTGCGGAAAAGCGTCCGTGCCAATCTAGACGCGCTTTTCCGCCCAAAAAAAACCCACCCCACCCCTCCGCATCGCCATTTTCGCGATTGGGGCTTTTTTGCGGAAAACAAATCCAAGCTGTCTACACTGGCCCTTTTGCGCAAAAGGACTTTTGCCCGAACGGGAGCAGCATAGTATTTCCGCAAGAAGCACTGATTTCTTACAGTAGGAAGTCAGTGCTTTTGTGGAAATTCAAGCGGCCGGTGTAGACAGCTGGCAAGTTTTTCCGGAAAAGCGGCTGATTTTCTGGAAAAACTGGCCAGTCTAGAGACAGCCTGAAGGCTTTAGGCACAGATATATCTGACTGGTGGTCTAGCTGAGAGGTGGCCATGGTTTCTTCTGTGCTTTATGGGGATGCTGGAAGGTTGAATTTACAAATCTTTGGGGAGCATTTTGAGATGCTCACACAAAAGCACAAAAGAATGTGGCACATGGAATGCCTTTTACAATAGCAAGTGGCTTAGTATGTTTTTCTATTCCAGTTTTCTAAAGGCTGCTCTCTTCATCTGGCCCAGCGACTGAGTCAGCTGCTCAACTTCCAGTCACGTAGGATGCCCATTCTCTCCAAAGAATCTGCTCCAGGACTGATCATTGCCACAGGTATATTTTTCTCAATCTGTGAGTACTGAGTGTCTTCAGTTCCTGTTGACTTGTGGGTGCTCAGCGCATTGCAGGATGGAGCCATTACAGCTATTAAAAACGTTGTTACAAAAATCAATTAAAATATGAATTTTGCAATCCTTTGTCTTCTGCACTCCTCATACAATTATTGATGCATATACATTTCACCGTCCTATTGCTGGAGGTAGAAACCCATCACACGTTTTATAGTCTATTCTTGCCACTCTCAAAATGAAGGCCTTTCTAAAGCATACACGTATTAATATCTGATTCCACTATTTTATTGCAGAAGGCTTGCTCTATTGAACATTTAAAACACAGCCAATTTCATCTGGCCATACTTGTCTTGACGTTGCTTTCCTAAAACCTGCAACAATTTTTTAAAACTTCTTATTTAAAGTAACTCATTTATAGTATGAAAAGTTAACTTCTCAGCACCTCTCATTTGATTACAAATAAAATACTTCAGTGGTGGCTGACTATATTTTAAGAACACCTCGTAAGAAATACCAAGAGAAATGACGCTGTCATTTTCCTAGGCTCAGTTGGCAAGAATATGGCAAGCAAAACGAACGTGTACGTTTCAAGCAGTGCAGGAGCAAGATGGAGAGAGGTAAGGATGCCATTTGCATTGAACCCGAATAGCGGTTTAGCTAAGAAGGCATCTGTGTGGGGAAGTATTGCTCTATTGGTTTATAACTATTATATCACAGTATGTTATGTATGCAGGGTATCCTTAATTCCGACCCCCTTGTATAAGTGAAGCGACTTTTGTTGAAATGTGCTGAATACCCTAGAAATGAAATTCAAAAGGACTTTGCGTCTACAACCAATGTTTCCTGGCCCTACTAACACATGGATTAATCAGGATACATTCTGACAGAGAGTACAGGATGTGTTATTCTTGCATTTCAAGCACAGAAGGGCTTGGACGAGTAGGAAGCAAGGAAAGTACCAGTTTTCTGTTTGTATATTGCATCATTCTGCAAGAAATTTTCCAAATGTGTTAAAGATGCCAGTGTACATAGATGTCCATAGGAATGCAAAGCATTATCATTAATTAAAACAGTGGTCACCAACCAGGATATCGGGATCCACCATTCAGTCCTGGAGCCTCTGACAGGTGATCGTGACGGGTTTGGCTGGGAAGCTGTCCACTTCAGTTGCCCCTGCCCCCACTGTCCTACTGCTCCTGCTCTCTGCCTTGGAGCTGCCCCTTGGGAGCCTCCTGCTTGCTGTGCAGGGTGTAGGAGGGAGTAGAGGGGAGGTGTCCTTCCTCCCCCCACTCCTGTACCCCGTCTCCACACAGAGAGAGGGGAATGGAGGGAGCTTGGCAATGCAAATCTGTCAGTCTCACACACTGTGGCTGTGTCTACACTGGCCGCTTGAATTTCCGGAAAAGCACTGACGATCTCATGTAAAATCATCAGCGCTTTTCCGGAAAAACTATGCTGCTCCCGTTCGGGCAAAAGTCTTTTTCTGAAAGACTTTTGCCCGAAAGGGCCAGTGTAGACAGCTCGGATTTGTTTTCCGCAAAAAAGCCCCGATCGCAAAAATGGCGATCGGGGCTTTTTTTGCGGAAAAGCGCGTCTAGATTGGCACGGATGCTTTTCCGGAAAAAGTGCTTTTCCGGAAAAGCATCCTGCCAATCTAGACACGCTTTTCCGAAAATGCTTTTAACGGAAACCTTTTCCGTTAAAAGCATTTCCGGAAAATCATGCCAGTCTAGACGTAGCCTGTGTGTGTGTCTGTTATTTTCACGAACACACACTGTCCTTCCCTCATCTCTTGACCCAACACGTACATGGGGGGGAGGGGGGGATGGATTGTTACTACTTTGACTGCTTGCAAAGTGAGTTCCTTTCATTGTTTGGCTGGTCTGCGCCTTTCATAACTTTCATTTCTCTCCTGTGCTTAAATGTAATTCGTTGTGTAGTGAGTTCTAAAATGCTGAATCTGGCACGCCTGCAGTAATTATCCCTGTGGCAATTGTGCTCCTGGAGGTGGCTGGCATGTCTGTGCAGCCCCTGAGATGGTCAGAGCTGGGGGAGAGGGAGTCTCCACATGCTGTCTGTGGCCTGCAGATATTGTTCCTGCAGCTCCCATTGATCAATAATGGAGAACCATGCCAGAACAGGCTGTGGGGTGGGTGCTTGTAGATGAGGGGCAGCACATGGAGTCACTGCTGTACATGTCAGCTGCTTTCAGAGGTGGTGCAGGGCTTGGGGCAGGAGTGGGCCTGCCTTGGCTCTGCTGCTCCATCCCTGGGGCAGCTGTCTGGCCACTTCCAGGGTGGGACTTGAACCCACAGCCCTGCTCTCCCCAGGAAAGAGCCCTGTGCCTCTCAAGAACGCACCCCACCACCCTACCTTCAGAGGTGTCCTTATCCTGCTTTCCTAATGCAGGAGCCAGCTCCATCTCTGGGGCAGCCTGTGTTGGTTGCCCAGCCACTGCCTAGGTGGGTAGAGGGATCAAGCCACCACCACCCTGTTCTCCACAGGTCGATGCTTTATCCCTGAGTTTACTGGAATCCCACCCTCCCTTCCGTAGGTCCCCTACCTTGTTTCATAAATGCAGGAGCCAGAGCCAGCTCCATTCCTAGGACAGTCTGGGTTGGCTTTCTGGCCCCTCCTGCAGTGGCTAGGACTCAAGGCCACCACCCTGTGCTCCCCAGGCAAATACCCTAATACCCTCTGCCTAATCCACTCCGCAGCCCAACCCACCTCCCTACCTTCTGCCGTCCTAATGCAAGAGCCAGCTCCATCCCAACTGCTCCCAGGGTGGGTTGGGCTCAAGCCCACCACCTTGTGCTCCTCAGGCAAATGGCCTAGCCCCTTGTCCCCCCAAGAACCCCCCCCCCCATATCTAGCCTTCCTTCCTGATATGGTAGGCAGCTTGATCCCTGGGGCAGCCTGTGCTGGCTGTCCAGGTGCTGCTTGAGTGGGGGCCACGGACTCTAGTCCGCCATACCCTGTGCTCCATCCCCTAGGCCACTCCAGAGCTCACCCCAGGTCCCAAGGGACCCTTATCCTGTACTGCCTGCCTGGGGGGTGGAGGGGACTCAAGCCCACCCCCCTGTGCGCCCCAGACAAATGGCCTATCCCCTAGCCCACCTCCCTTCCTTCAGCAGGTCCCTTATCCTCCCTTCCTAAGGCAGGCGCCAGCTCCATCCCTGGGGCAGCCCGTGTTGGCTGTCCGGCCGCTCCCAGGGTGGGTGGAGGGACTCAAGCCCCCAATCTTGCACTCCCCAGGCAAATGCCCTATCCCCTAAGCCACTCCAGAACCCACCCAACCTCCCTACCTGCAGGGTGTCCCCTCCCACACTCCGAACCCCTTGGCCTGAGACCAGAGCCTGCACCCCAACCCCCTACCCCAGCCTGGTGAAAGTGAATGAGATTCGGGTGAAGGGAGGTGGAGTGAGCAGGGTGACACCTCAGAGAAGGGGCGGGAAGCAGGCCAGGCCAAGGTATTTGGGTTGGAGGTAGATCTTACATTGCACTTAAACTGAAAACCGATCTTGTGGTCAAAAAGGTTGAAGACCACTGAATTAAAATAATTAAAAACCAGTTAAAAATTGGCAAAACTAAACAACATTGAGCTAATTGGCACAACATACAGCTAGAGCCTTCTGTGGCTGAAATATCAAGACCAGCATAATGCAGCTGGACCATCAGGCTATGTCTAGACTGAAGGTTTCTTTCGGAAGAAGCTTTTCCTGAAGAGATCTTCCAGAAAAACTTCTTCCGAAAGAGAGCGTCCACACAGCAAAAGCGCATCAAAAAAGCAGTCACACTGACTGGATGCTCTCTCGCATTTCAGCTGTGATTACTATGGATGGAGTGGCCACCAGGGCACCTGTGCTTTTACCTCTTTCCTCTTCTTTCCAAAGAACTCCCTCTTCCTTGACCACACATGCCTTTTTCCAAAAGAGCTCTTTGGAAAAAGGCTTCTTCCTTGTAGAATGAAGATTACCAATGTTGGAAAAACCCCTCCGTTCTTTCGATTTTCTTTCAAAAGAACACGATTGCAGTGTAGATGGCCATTTTTCCGAAAAAACCTCTGTACTGAAGACAGACCTTCAGAGTGTGTGGTTAGGAAGGCTGGCCTTGTGTTACCTCCAGTTGAGAGAATTGGCTTTCCATTCCCACCTCTGCTACAGACTCCATGCTTGCAAATTTTGGCAAGTCACTTAGTCAAGAGAGATTAATCTTCAGTCCCCATCTACATTTCCTTTGTTTCTCTTGTCTCTCTAGATTGCAAATTCTTTGGAGCAGTACATAGCATAGTGGGGCTTTGATGTCAGTTGGCACCTCTAGGTACTGTTGTAATGTTAACAATAGAACATTCTGGGGTATCACTGAGGATTGCTGCCAGGGGAGAGTATTGAATTCAGGGGACCTGGGAGAATAAGAATAATGTTTACATTCCTCTTGTTCTTAGTGCTGTTTTCCTTTGGATTTTCAGAGGCATCAGACATGTTGGATTAAAGCTTTCAATGTACTTATTTATGTGTCTTTATGTTTGAGTATTGCCCCCTAAGAATGCAGACAGAACTCAGACAAACCCAGTGTTTTCTGCCTGCATGGAATGAGATGTTCTCAGTTTACGGGTGTTGAATGTTATTTACTAACTGGGTGTTCTGGTCTGTGGCATGGTTTGTGGTCTGTCTGTACATTTTGCTGTTAGTGTAATATGGTATTTCAACATCTGTAAACTGTTTAATCCTGTGAATAAAACTGCCTCCTTTTCCTCCCAGTAAATGCTGTGCGGTTTGGTTAATGTCTGGGTATCTGGGGCAGCAATGGGAACAGGCCACAGTTTTTGTTACCTTGTCCAAAGAACCCCTGTCCTTGAAAGCATATACATATCAAAGATTCATACTAGGAACTTCTGGGGTGACATGGAAGTGTTTAGTCTTAAAAGGCGAGATAGCCACATAATTCTTCCTTGACCAGGCACAGTGGTGCTGCATGTAAAAGTAAAAATGTGATGAGTAAGAGAAAGAGTCGGTTCACAAGACCCTGGCTTCTTAGTTACGCAGTGTGAATTTTAAAATCTTCCTCTTTGTGCAAAGAGAGGAGCAGAAGGGAAAGGACTGAACACTTGTGAGTTTGTATCCATGCAAGAGTGATTCAGCTTCTGCTTTGTGGTTCTGGCAAGCAGCTGTGTGAAAGTCATCTGCTCCAGCCTGGAAAACTGAATGGTCTGTCGAATTGCTGGTCTTATTTCAGAACAGAGCCGTGGGTGGGTATGACACACGACAATTCTTCTCCTCGTGGTGGATGTGTGAACTGGCTGTTGGATCACTTAATGTGTGGTTTCCAAGTGCTCCTTGGCTTCTGAGTTCGAAGAAACCTCACAGATTCAAACAGACTATTGAGTGAAATCCTGGGAAACCAACAAATCTCCACTCAGGTCACCAGAAGCTTCGCAAACATCACAAACTGCTCTAGCTTTAGGGAGCTTCTTTTATTTAGGGTATGTCTACACAGCAGGGCTATTTCAGGATACCAGAAGTATCCCGAAATAGCTACCCTGTGTCTTTTAAACATGCTTGCTATTTCAAGATGTGCTATTTTGGCATCCCAGGAGCCCTCATTCCATACACTATTTTGAAATTCAATCGAAATAAGATACACAATTTGCATAGCGCAAATTGTGTATCTTATTTTGAGTTTAGGATGCTGTGTAGGCGCTCCCTTAGACTAGTGCATCTCTTCTCACTTGGGTGAAGTTATTCCTGATTTTCGCCACTTTGAGAGGAGACTAAGGGTACGTCTAAACTACATGCCTCTGTCGTCAGAGCCATGTAGATTTGGTGTTTTGGCAAAGGCAAATGAAGGCGCGATTTAAATGATCGCGGCTGCATTTACATTTACATGGCTGCCGCGCTGAGCCGACAAACAGCTGATCAGCTGTTTGTCCGCTCAGCGCGCTAGTCTGGACGCTCCCCTGCCAACATCAGAGCCCTTTGTCGGCAGCCCCGGGAAACCTCCTCCCACGAGGAATAACGGGGCTGCCAACAAAGGGCTTTGATGTTGGCAGGGGAGCGTCCAGACTAGCGCGCTGAGCGGACAAACAGCTGATCAGCTGTTTGTCGGCTCAGCGCGGCAGCCATGTAAATGTAAATGCAGCCGCGATCATTTAAATCGCGGCTTCATTTACATTTACATGGCTCTGACGACAGAGGCATGTAGTCTAGACACAGCCTAAGAGTCCAGAGTCTTATTCTTCCCTTGGTTACAGGGGTGTAAATTCAGAGTTCTCTCTTCTGTGTTCTAGTTGATATTTAGTGCTGCCATGAGGGAAGTGACTGGACTAGATGACCTCTCCCGGCCCCTTCCAGTTCTATGATTTCAGTTGACTCCAGACATCAGCTGGCGTTCCACTGCTACAGCCCAGGAGACCAGAAAGTCAGCACAGTTCAAACACCCCAGTTTTTAAAGAAAATGTTTCAAAGCACGGATTTCAGCCCTAATTGAGCAAAGCTTCAATGGGACTTTAGCTCAGATGTCTAAATGCTCGTGTGGTTATATTTTATAGTTCAGGTGATGCTTTATGGTCATATCTGAGCCATCTCAACATTCACTCATTAAGGTCCCCGTGTCAATATTTCTTTTCTCAGGTGCTGTCTGGACCTCATTACTACACATGGGGAGACCACGGTGGTATTCTTGTGGCAATAACACAGGACACAGAGACAGACCAGCTCAAGTAAGTTACTGGGACAGAGGACTTTTTTTTCAAACTGCCTAATGGGAGCAGATGACTTCCCAAGATAGAATAGCAGTGAAAACGATAGAATAGCAAGTGACCCCTTGATTTGGCCTTTTACCTATCCTTGATATCCTAGTCCATGACCCTTTCCCCTACCGCTTTCTAAGAGAAGAAACATCTCACTAGTAGAACAGGAATAAGCTGAGGGTATACAGGATATCTGCCTGTGGCATATGCTAGATTTCCATGGCTCTGTGCCTTATTCTTCACTGTTCTCTTTGTCTTGCTGCTGTGTTGCAGTAGTGTCTGTGTGCTAGGGATGTAGGAATGTAGCCATTTAAATGGATAATCAATAAGCATGAGCTTGTCAGTTACTCAGTGGCTACATGTGGCTCCCAGGGAGCTGGCTGCCACCCTGTACTGGCAGCACTGAGGGGCAGCAGCCAGCTCTCCAGGAGCAGGTGGCAGGTGGGAGACCGTACTCTCCAGGACATGGCTTAAAAGCCAGTTCCCCGCACTCACTAGCTCCCAAGGAGCTGACTGCTTCCCCATGCTGCTGCCTCTGATACAGAGGCAGCAGTGCGGGGCAGCAGGGGGTGAGCACCAGGAGTCGGCTTAAAAGCAGTTACAGGGTTAGCCAATTACCCACATTTTAACATCCCTACTGCATTCATGAACAACACTGCTGGCTTTAGCCTCAGAGCCTCTATAAGGTGACGTGATATTATGCCCATATCACAGATGGGAAACTGAGGCACAGAACAACTAAGTCTTCTACAAGAGAGCTGTAGTATTATTTTTAAATACACATCCCAAATTTCTCAGGGACAGAGCTATTCACCAGAATTGAGGAAAGGTTTTTTTAAACATATTCCCAACTTTTTTGCCTTCTATAATTCAGTCTCCCCTCCTCTTTACCCAAGGTGCCTGAGACCCAAATATTTAACACCCACTATTAACAATGTGGTGCCAATGTGTTCTGGACTTTCTTTCTGTAGCAGCCCACTTGTCCTGGCAATTACTCTTTGAATGCTGCATCCTAAGGTACTTGGAGCCTTGGCAAAATATGATGAAAATCAAATCTCTTATTGCTACACATGACTAAGAAGCAAACACATGGCTTAGTCAGTATGGCTTCCTTGTGGTTAGAGCAGTGGTCTCCAACCTTTTTGCACCCAAGATCACTTTTTAAATCTCAGAACAGGTGAAGATCTACCGCCCCGCCCCTTCCTTGAAGCCCCGCCCCTTCCTTGAAGCCCCGCCCTCTCTATTCTCCTCCTGTCCATCACTTGCTATCCCCAGACCTTACTTAGACACTCTGATAAACAGTTTATTTTTAAATTATGCGATACATAAAATTAAAATCACATATTTATAGTTATGAAATAAATGGTCTGTTTTTTATTCATGCTATTTAAATCTAAAATGAAGCATTTATAATTATACATTTTGGAGGGACAGAGTTCTGCGGCTGGGAGCAGGGGAGAGGGAACAGGGTGCTGGGAGGGCAGAGGACAAGGTTCTGCAGCAGAGGACAGGGTGCCAGTGGGGACAAAGTTCAGGGAATGGAGACAGAGTTCTGTAGGTGGGGACAGGGGAGTAGGGGCTGGGGAGCCAGTGGCAGGAAAGAG